GGCTTCTTGCTGCTTGCCTTCTCTCTCGCTGGTGAGTTCATCTTGCTGCTGTAGACTGAAGACTAGCTGATCTTTTGGAATCTGTCAGACCTTCAGCACCAGATTGGGACTACTGAGACATCCAGCCTCATGTACTGAGCGGCTATGGATTCTCAGCCTCTCCAGTGTGGTGCAGCCATTGTTAGACTACTCGGACTCTATCCTGTTAGCTAAGCTGATAAATCTCTATACATATTCATTCTACCGGTTCTGTTTCTTTGGAGAACCCTGACTAATACAAACACATTATCCTTTCAAGGAAAAAAACCTCAGTTATTAACCTTTGAAGTTGTTCAAGAACCAATCCCTTATTCTGAAAACTAACTAATTAGAAAAAACAATCACCTGGCTTTTCTATATAAGCTATATTTTAGGGTATCAAAATAGTTCAAAGAAAAAGATTTTTCTTGACATAAAAATTTCTGTTAACTGGGGCTGGACAGAGGGCTCAGTGGTTAACAGCACCGACTGCTCTTGCAGAGGATCCAGGTTCAATTCCCAGCACCCACATGGCAGCTTCAAACCATCCTTAACTCCAGTTCCAGGGGAACCCGAAGTCCTCTTCTGACCTCCGTGGCATTGCACAACACAGGTGTGCTCACATACATGCAGGCAATACACTCATACACATAAAATAAATAAATAAAATATTTTTTAAAAATTCTGTTAACTTACATTAGGAAATAATAAGCATAAAAATATTGTTATTGCTGGGCATGGTGGCACATGCCTTTAATCCAAGCACTCAGGAGGCAGAGGCAGGTGGATCTCTGTGAGTTCAGGGCCATTCTGGTCTACATCAGGAGTTCCAGGCTATAGGGAAACCCTGTCTCAAAAAGACAATTTTTTTTTTCAAAAAAGATGTGTGTGTGTGTGTGTGTGTGTGTGTGTGTGTGTGTGTTTTAATTTGTGCTGTCATTGCACAAACACCAATAAAATAACAGCCCCGGGCTGGGCATGGTAGTGCACGCTTTTAATCCCAGCACTCGGGAGGCAGAAGCAGGCGGATCTCAGTGAGTTCAAGGCCAGCCTGGTCTACATAGTGAGTTCCAGGACAGCTGGGGCTACAGGGAGACCCAGTCTCAAAAAGACCAAAAATAAATAAATAAGTAACAGCCCTGGGAACTGGAGAGATGGTTTAGTCACTAAAGTGTTTGCCATGCAAACATGAAAACCTGAGTTCAGAATCCCCACAACTATGTAAAAGTCAGGCATTGCAGCATGTGCCTATAACCCCAGTGTTGGAAGGTAGAAAACAGAGACAGGAGGATCCCTGGGGCTTAAGGCTCAGCTAGTCTATCCAAAAGAGCAAGCCCTAGGTTTAATGAAAAAACTTGTCTCAAAACATAAGGTGGAGAGTGATTGAGGACTTTACCTAATATTGATCTCTAGATTACACACACACACACACACACACGATTACTTTAAGTATGAAATACTAATCAATAGCTTCTAAAACTATTAAGTGAAAGACTGATAGGAAAACTTGACAGATTAATGAAGCTGACAACAGTGAAAATTTATTAATAAATTTTTTTTTTTTGGTCCTTTTGAGACAGGGTCTCGTTGCAGCCCAAGCTAGCCTGGAACTGTGTAGACCAGACTGGCCTTGATCTCACAAAGATCTACCTGCCTCTGCCTCCCAAGTGCTGGGATTAAAGGCATGTACCACCATATTTAGCTTCTATTAATAAAATTTAATATAAAAAATGACAGATAAGTACACATTATAGTCCCCTGATAAGAAACAAGAAATCTATGCTACCTACTTATGATTTATTCTTGGTCAAATCAAGCCCCTAGATCTATCTAATTTCCAACTTACTGGAAAAAATGAAGGATAAAGGAATGAGTTATCACAAGATGCATATCATGAAATTCAATGTTAAGGAAATTCAATTAAATATAGCAAATTATCCAATTCTTCAATAAGTAAATGGTATGTTTCACAAAGAAGCAGGAAGAACGGCCTACAGATTAAAAGGCAATTATCAAGTGCAATGCATGTCTCATATTAGATGCTGATTAAAACAAACCAACAACAGAAACCATGTAAACAGCCAACTTTTAAATATAGGAGACTTAATAACATTATGAAATTTTTGTAATTTCTTTAAATAAATTAATCAAAATGTTTCTATGATTTGAAAAAGAATATTTTAGTAATACATGATAAAATATTCATGGATAAAATATCCAGGATTTTCTTTAAAATGATTCAGTACTGGAACTATAGGAAAAAGAATGACTAGAGGATGATACTAGCAGGGAGTTTGTGTTCTTTCATCTCTGCATACTTACAAAGCCCCACAATAAAAAGCGTTAAATAATTCAGAAGAGACAAGCTGTAAATGGAAAGAAATTTAGGAATATATTGACTAACTTGTTTTCCCTATAGTTCTTTGTTATTTATGCAAGAAGATCTATAGTGTACATTTAATTGTTTTACAAAGGTTAAGAGCTATTTCAGGAAACAAAAAATACATTATTGAAAGAGCTCTCAGGCACGGTTTAATAGTATTTTTTTCTTCATTAGGAATAAGTGCCATAATCAATAACCTTTTATACATAATAAAACATTATTAGAGACACTAAGCATTTCTTGTCAGAAAATGATAAATTTTAAGGTCAAACAGAATAAAATATTAACCAATTTTTTAAAGAAATTCAAGGAAAAAAAATCTCAATATGGAAAGACAAACCTTGATCATCTCTGCCTCTATCTGCTGATGAACACCTATGTAACTTTTCTTCACCTGCTGCTTGTCCTTGATCATCATGGTGAGCCTGTGCAAGGGTCCAGAGTTTAGATCCTCTGCATGTGTCTTCATTATCCTACTAAGGTGTTCTGTCTGTTGAATCATCAGCAGCCAAGACTTTAAAAAAGAAAAAGAAAGAAAGAAAGAAAATTAGCACTTGTTTTAGAAGTTTCACTTAGCTGTAAGTGTTCAAAAGCTTTAAATGTTTAATTTTATATCTATCTTTACATTAATATAAAACACCAGGTGTCCGGCAACTATACAATGAATTACAAATGATATGTATTTACATCTTCAAGTACAAATGCTTCGAGCTTCAATGAAGAATACACAGAATACTGGAAAAGGACTGAGGACTCAAAAGCCCATACTTGCATTTCTCATCTGCTATACAACACACTGAAGTACTTTCTGCACCCATCATTCTAAGGCCCTACTAAAGTTAGCAATTCCCAGCAATCAAGTGAACTGATATTTTCCCATCATCATTTTCACCTTCCTCTCTCTGATACCGGTGCCTCATTTCATCCCAAATCTTTTTTTGTTTGCATGCCTGCCTTTTATCTTCCAACATTTCCAGCTTTCCTTTCTAAAACGTCCTTCTCAGTCTTCAGTCCTTACTCTTCTGCTACCTGAGTCTTAAATACTACTACTCTATGTGTTTCTAGCAATAGCCATTCTCTTTTCTTAATAAACACTGTTAATTCTTAGTAGAACAGCACATTGCCTCAATAACAAACACATAATGGTAGATTGGGGGAAAGTGGACATATGGAAATTGCCAAAAGGGCAAACCACTGTTATTAGACTTCCTACCCTACAGATTCTGGAAAAAGTAACAGAGGGATGCTCTTCACTATAGGTCTTCAAAATTCTGTCCAAAAACAGCAACTAGGGGAATCACAGTCAGGGAGGATCCATGTTAAAAAGATTAAAAACAAAAAAACCTAAAACTGAACAAGGGATAGTTTCAAATATTGACAAGTATACTACTTCATTACTTTTTAAACTTTATTGCACTGTGTGTGTGTATATGTGTGTGTGTGTGTGTGTGTGTGTGTGTGTGTGTGGCACATGTGGAGGTTAGAGGACAATTTTGTGGGAGTTGGTTCTCTCCTTCAATTACATGGGTCCTGGATATCAAACTTGAGTAGTCAGGTTCAGCAGTAAGTGCCTTTATCTACTGAGCATCTCACCAGCCTACTCTATTACTTTTGGTTTATGAATTATTCTCTTTCCTGGTTGTATCCCAAGGGAATCCTAAGTCAAATTTTAGAAAAATATAAATGAAATTTATAGCCTACTAGAGGGAAGTTCACAGTTTCTATCCATCAAATTTGTTTTTTTTTGTATGCTTCAATATATGTCAATAAATAAATGAATAACAATTTTTAAAGGTATTTGGTTAGGGAGAGAGGTCATTCTCAGATGGGAAGCTGCTGAAATGTGTGTGCATGGAACACGATGTATGGTCTCCAAATCCATCATGTTTATTTTCAAGCTTGAAAATATGACAGGTAACCTTATCTTGACACCAAAGTTAAATCTAAAATTTAGCAAGTTGGACATGTAGCTCACAACTGTGATCTCAACACTCAGGAAGCTGAGGTATGAAAAGAATTATCCTAAGTTTGAGGCCTGCCTGAACTATATGGTAAGTTCCAGGCCAGCAATATAGTGTGGGACATTGTTGCAAAACAAAACCAAAAATATTATATTATATTATATATATTATATAATTACTTCTTATTATATAATCAATTAATTATCATTTCTTTTAATTGTTTTAAAAACAATTTAACATTTAAAGCATTTTTAAAAGCATACAAACAAAAAGTAAACATTGGTTTAAAACATAAATAGTAACTTTTATGGCTTTGCCTTTTACAATCTAATATTTTTACCTTAAAAAAATACCTAAAGGACATCTGGTACAAATATTTGACTGGATAGGACTTAGCATGCGTGGCAAAATACATGAGGTCCAGTGGGAAGTTGGAGAGCGTGGATGGGGGCCTCTAAATGTGATTAAGAACTGTTGTACGAAATATATAAAAGCTCAATAAAATTTTTTAAAAATATATCATATTGGAAAATGTACAATAGTATGTATAGAATATTAAGGGAAAATAAATAAATAAATAAATAAATAAATAAATAAATAAATAATAAATAAATAATGAGAGAAGTCAGTGTTCTTGTCCCACCTCCAGAAAGTGAATACTCTCTAAAGGGTCTGTAAGCACACATTTTTCTGATTCTACATAGAAGTCCTGGCAGCCTAGAGGAAATGCCTTCTTGGAAGTCAATGTTAAAAATCACAAAATTATCAGGTTGCCCTCCTCACCATAAAGGTACATTTGGTCTTGCTTGATCCCCTATCCACTGTACTCACTGCACTGTCCACCTCACACCGCCCTCAATAGCTCCTAATATGATGTAAGCCACTATATTGTGTAGGTACCCTATATCCTCAAAATCCTGTTTCCTCAAAACCAACTTCCCTATGACTAGAAAACTCCTCATAAGCTCTCATCAGAACCTTCCATTTATTTTCTACCTTTAACAAAAAGCTGGCTCTGTCCAATTCCACAAAGTTCCAACATTAGAGACAAACTCTTTCTACAAAAGTCCTTCCTCCTTTGAAGTGAAACCCAGTCACCTGCCCCATGAACAAATCCATTAGCATGTCCTTGGATTCTCTCTCCACAAATCCATGCACTTTTCTCCATTTCCTCTGTCACTCCTTTTGGAGGTTATAATTACTTCTTGCTTAGACTAGTTCAAAGCTACCCAAATGCTGTATGTATGCTCATTTCACTCCAATCCACTCGCCTTAAAATAGCAAAAGAAATTAATAACATTTTCTTACACAAAACTCTACATTATATTTCTTCAGCATTTAAGGAAAATCCAAATCTTGTCTAAGACCTAGAATATCTCCTGTTAGATAATTCTGTCAATCTTTCCAACTTCAAGATTTATCATTTTTAATCTACATAAATAAATCAGAAGCATATTTCCTTATTTCCTGAACATATAAAGCTCCAATCTCTTACTGGCAGTTTTTCCTCATCTTTGCCAAAATGCTTCCTCTCCTTCAGAGGGCAAGAACCATCTCTTCCTCTACAAATGTACTAAATTTCCTGGGCATCTAATAATCTCTGCTATTTTCTCTCTTATAAAAAGTATTTGCAGGGGCTGAAGAGATGGCTCAGCAGTTAAGAACACTTTCTGCTCTTCCAGAGGACCCACGTTTGGTTCCCAGCACCCACATGGTGGCTAACAACTATCCGTAACTCCAGTTTCAGGGGATCCAAAACCCTCTTCTGGCTCCCGCTGGCATGGGTGCACTTACACATATGCAGGGAAAATACTCATATACATGGAATAAAAATAAATAAAAACATTTTTAAGTATTTACCTGTATGAATACTTGATGAGCTTTAGTTTTTTGTTTGTTTAATGTCTCCTAACTTAAAATGTTAGCTCCTTAAAGTTAAGTACCATGTATTTTTCGTCACTAGTTTAGGCATTATTCTGATATATGAAATAATAGGTGCTAAATATTCACTGAAAAAGGAAGGAAGAAAAGGAAAAAGGGAAAGGAAGAGAGGAGGGTAGTAAAAATAAAATCATGACTGAATATATGCCATAAGGGGCTGAGAATATAGATCAGTGACAGAGTGCCTGCCTGGCAAGCAAGAGGTCTTAGGATTTATCTCCTGCACTGCAAAATAAATAAATAAATAAATAAATAAATAAATAAATAAATAAATAAATAAATAAATACTCATTCAATCAAAAACATGTGAAAGTGAGATAGCTCAGCAGGCAAAGGCACTTGCTACCAAGCCAATGATCTGAGCTCAGTCTGACCACCACATATAAATTGTGGCATGCACATACACACACACACATACACACACACACACACACACATATACACAAAAACACTAAATAAATAAAAATGTGATAAGGGCGGTGGGTAAAAGTCTTTTTTAGTCTAGAATTAGAAAGTATAGTGATAAGCCTGGAAGAAATTAATAGGTTCCTTTTCAACTGATAATAATCAGAGCAGTATGTAATGCAAATGAAACCCTGACCTAAAAAGAACAGTTAAAAGTGTTAAGAAAATGGTTTGCATGATGTATTACTTGAATTAGATGAGCAACTGAAGCTAACTGTGGTTAATAAAGAAGCAAAGTAAAATACACTCTCACATTTGCAATAAAGAGGAAAGGAACCAGCAGACAGAGGACAGGGATAAAGAATGCAGGAGAGGGGGTGACAATTCCTTGAAGCTTTTGTTTGAAAGCTTTTGTCCTGAAAAGGTGTTTTAATGTTCAATGTTTATATAGAATTATGAACCTCCTGTCAATGTCCTATGTCACATATATTTATCTATGCACTTTGAACAATCTTTAAATCTCAGATAAATCCCACTTGATCATAGTATATGATCCTCTTAATGTGCTGTTTAATTCAGATTGCTAGTATTATGTTGAGAATTTTTGTGACTATTTTCATCAGGAATATTGTATGGCTTTGATATCAAGGTAATTTTTGCCTTGTAGAATGAATTTGAAAGTATTCCTTCCACTTTGATTTTTTTTTTTAGAAGAACAACTTGAGAACTCGTATAAAATTTTGTACAATTTACTAGTGAAGCCATCAGATCTAAGGTTTCATCTTCTTGGAAGGTGTTTGATCTTTGAATCAATTTTCCTGCTTATTATATTCAGAAATTATTTCTTCATGATTCAGTTTTGGAAGTCTGTATGTATCTTATTCTACATACACTGCATCCTAGCTGGGTTGTTCTCCCAGACTCTCAGGTCTGCTTCTAAACTCAAGATTCTACTGGGCTCTGCCAGTTTCTTAATATTATAGTGGTTTTACAAACTTTTTATTTCATGTTAAAATTTTTGAAACAACTTAGCACCAAAGTTTGTTGATTCATAAAAATTTGAAGTTATTAAGTAGTGGCGTATTATGAACTTTGTACTTTATTATCAATACTACATTGAAAATTGGTTTGTGACAACCATCTACTCTATGATTATTAGTTTCTGTATTTTCTATTTCTAAAACTTAGGATTCACTCGGAAAAATAG